AAAACCAATAAATAGAAATTAAAACCAATAATGGTTAAAGTTGGTTTTCATTCCTTTTGAACTTCCATAACCTTTTAGTTTTGAAAACCAATAAATAGAAATTAAAACCAATAATGGTTAAAGTTGGTTTTCATTCCTTTTGAACTTCCATAACCTTTTAGTTTTGAAAACCAATAAATAGAAATTAAAACCAATAATGGTTAAAGTTGGTTTTCATTCCTTTTGAACTTCCACAACCTTTCAGTTTTGAAAACCAATAAATAGAAATTAAAACCAATAATGGTTAAAGTTGGTTTTCATTCCTTTTGAACTTCCACAACCTTTCAGTTTTTGAAAACCAATTACAACCTTTAAAAGGTTATGGTCCCTATTCCTTTCCAAGAGAAAATAAGAACACTGTCATTTTTTTTTTTTCTAAATCCTCTCAAGGAGAAACATAAGGCACCAAAGGGGAAAGGATTAGAAGGCAATAACATAATCAATAACAAAGAGTCCATTGATAATCACGCTTCCGCTTAACCGTTCATCAATGGATTCAGGTATGTCATTTTGTCTTGATTTCTTGATAATACACATGGTAAATGATCTAAAGTGTAAGGTTTATGTTCTGAAATTTATGTTGACAGTAGCCCCAACCAAAATGCATATTAATTAGGCCAACTCTCAAGTTTCAATATATATATATATATGTGTGTGTGTGTTCAAAATAAGTGAATTGCATCAAATGGAAATGTAAAAAGGAGGGGAAATTTAACCGACACAAATTTTTGATGCAAGCAACTTCCTCTTTGGTGAATCTGATGGTGCATCTTCTTGGCAGAGAAAATTATTTCCTGCATATGCAAGTGAAGTTCAAATGAATATGTTATTAGAAAAATATATGATTTCCCACAAGTAAATCAATCAATGTGAGTAAAAATTAATGCGAAAAAATTAAATTAATAGCAACACTCAATATGAGGTACGTCTACGAGATCGAAATCCGATTCCACTATCACCCAAAGAGTTTCTAAACGATTACCAACGAGACACGAATGATTTCACAAAACCACCTTTATGTGAATTGCAAATAATCACAAATAAAGAAGAGGAAAAAATATCACCAAATAGATGAACAAAATTCTTCGACACAGAGTCATGGAAGACCCAAGATAATCACCCAAAACAACTTCACCAAATCAGCCGAAATTGTCAACAAAAAAGTGAAGCTAACCCAAACTTTTATTCCACAGAATTGATGTATCAATATGTAGCAGCCGCGCAACTTCGGGACGAGCAACAAAAACAATGCCTAAAAAATTGTTAATTCTTGAGTTTTATATCAAAACCCTAATTGCTACTAAATTGATTATAAAATATCTATTAGGCCTACAAAAGATAGATATAAAATATTAAAAAATATATTATAACAAATCTTAAACCAAATCAAATTCTTTTAATAAACTAATTGGGTCCTAAACTCCACTAAGGAGGTATACCCGACATATTTTTATCCGCGGATTCAAATCATCTGTGGCATTATGGTACTCTGACTCCTTATCCTCACCGCAGATGCAGGCACATTGCCACCATTGTTCTTATTTGAGAATCTCACAACAATAACCATCGAATATGGTATGAAAAAACACAAAAGAAAACCACCATCTATAAATGAAAGATTAAACCCCTTGATTCAAGCTCTACCTGATCATTGGAAAACAACAACAAAAAAATAAAAGAAAAGAAGAGAAAAACATGAAGGAGATAAGAAAGAAAATGGAAGGGGAACCAATTGCGAAAAGAAGAAAAACAAAGGGGTCTTGTCAAAGCAATCAACACAAAAATAAAAGGGGCAAAATGTAGCGAACTCCAAAAAAAAAAAAAATGATAAAGTTCAATTGTTTCGAGTATAGAAAAAAGTGAAAATGCTGAAAAAACCTTGAACATCAATAAAAATAATGGTAAAATACCAATAGGTCCTAATAGTTAGACTTAATTGTCATCAAATCCTGGTAATATCGTCGCTAAAAATAATTTTTGTGATGATTTTTTTGCATATGTCGCTAAAAATTTACAATTAGTGATTTTTTTATCACAGTTTTTATAAATTATCACTAAAATTTACAATTAGTGCCTTTTTTGTGACGAATTTTTTAAACTGTCGCTGAAAGTTGAAAATCAATAACTTTTTTTTGTGACGATTTTTTTAAAATGTCACTGAAACTTATAATTAGTGACTTTTTTTAAAAAAAATTTCAAACTGTCTCTAAAAATTAACAATTAGTGACGCTTTTTAACAATGTTTAATGAAAAATGCTATTAATTCTCAAAAGCATTATTGGACAATAAATCCACCTATACAAATAAGTCTCCCAAAAATATAAATATGTATACACTACAAGAATTTACACATTTTGCGACCACTTTTGCCGACCAAATAAATTTTGGTTGCAAAAAAATGACATTTGGTGACCAAATATTAATTAGTCGCGAATGATCATTATTTTTGGCGACCAAATATTATTGGTCGCAGAAGGTTATATTTTGGCGACCAAAAAATGAGTTGGTCGCAGAAAGTGGTATGCTTTTGCCAACCAACTACAAATTTGGTCGCGGTAGGTCACATATTTTTTGGCGACCAAAAATTTGGTCGCCAAAAACTTATTTTCAGCAACCAAAAAAAAATTAGTCGCCAAATTTGTACTTTTAGCGACTAATATTTTAGTCGCCATTGATTGAGATTTGGCGACTAAAAAAATTTGTCCGCGAAGGTACCTTTTCTGCGACTAATATAGTCTTTTGGTCGCCAAAAATTTGGGAGGGAAATTTGATTTTTATAGAGGCGGGAATTGAATTTTTTTTGCGACAAAAAAATTTGGTCGCCATTTTTAAAACGACGTCGTTTTGTACAGGAAAATAGAAAAAAAAAAAGAAAAAAAAGCCCTAATCTCTTCTGTCTCTAGCCCCCTCTCTGTGTCCATGTTGGTCTGCCCTCTCCCTCTCTCTGTGTTCTCTCTCTCAATCGGTGCCCACTCTATGTAGCTCACCGAAGTCCCTCACCACCATTGCTCAAGTCCGTCGCACATCGCCACCGCCGCAAATCGCCATCGCCCTCTGTCTAATGGACTCCTCATTTCTAGAAGATCCTCACCCAATCTCACCTCATCTCAGACCAACGTCGCACGCCACTGCTAGCGCCACCACCGCCGCCGCCTCATCCTCACAGGTTCTCTCTCACTCTCATTTTGACTCTGAATCTTGGTCATGTTGATCTGAAGACAATGGGACTGTGGTAGCATCGGCAATATGCATTTTTAGCTCTGCATTATGATGGGTAGGTGAAGATACAGTATCTTTTGCAATCTCAATAGCATTAATCTTCTGGGCAGATTTTGACTCTGAATCTTGGTCATGTTGATCTGAAGACAATGGGACTGTGGTAGCATCGGCAATATGCATTTTTAGCTCTGCATTATGATGGGTAGGTGAAGATACAGTATCTTTTGCAATCTCAATAGCATTAATCTTCTGGGCAGATTTTGACTCTGAATCTTGGTCATGTTGATCTGAAGACAATGGGACTGTGGTAGCATCGGCAATATGCATTTTTAGCTCTGCATTATGATGGGTAGGTGAAGATACAGTATCTTTTGCAATCTCAATAGCATTAATCTTCTGGGCAGATTTTGACTCTGAATCTTGGTCATGTTGATCTGAAGACAATGGGACTGTGGTAGCATCAGCAATATGCAGACTGTTTCTGGATGTTGCAACCATAGAAGAGTCAATAACACTATTGAGGAATTCTGAATTAGAATCATCGCAAGAAACTGTATTGCACAAAACAGAGTCCAAATTTGATGAAGCAACTACCTGTTGATCCATCTCATTTTCTGTGCAAGATTCTTGAAGATGCTCTGGGGAACATGCCTCGTTGATTTCCATACCATTCTGATGTAAATCCTCAAGAATAGTAATAGATTCTTTTTGCAATTTTGTGGGACTGGTAGAAAAAGATTTGTTGTCGCCTTCATTATCATCACAATGCGAGCCAACAACAGCAGTAGCCACAATCACAACTTCCGAATGAACAGTTTCAGTTACTACATCATCTAAATGCACATCGGGAACTGGTGGAGGATCTGGAGAGCTTTGAAAATCAGGTGAAAATTTAAGGCTGCTATCATCCTTTCCAATGATATCCATGTCAGTGAAGAATCCACCCGATTCTTCACAATCTGCTGCATTGGAAGCCACATCAACATTTTTCTCTCTAGAATATGAAAAACCCACTTCTGCTGAATCAAGTTCATGTGGGGAAATATTTTCTGATATTACTGAGAACTAATGCTTTGTAAAGCTAGTAGCCTCTAGATTATCCACTGTCGGAGTTGAGCTAATTGCTCTCTCCTCGGGCATTAGAGGAGCATCATCTACTTTAGAAACTATGCCATCAGGCTTCATATCAGGATGACAAGTTTCCAGTTCTGGGAAGGCTGAATCAAGATGTTGCTCTTCTGCATGTGAAGCAACTGAATGTGGTGAGACAATCTGAATGTCAACCGAAATTTCGGGACATTCATCTTCTGCGTATTCTGCTTGAAGTGAATCATCTAACAAACTTTCATTACTATTCTTTCCATGAGCAGCAGGCTCCAAGTGAATCATCCACATGATGGTTTTCAGAAGACAGCTCAGGGGGGAAATCATCTCGCATTTGGGAAGGACTATCAGAGAGATTAGATGTGCAGGGTAAATTTTCTCCCAGATATGCTGTATTCTCTTCCAGATTACTACATTTTGTATTAAGTTCATTATTGGAAGATATTTCATCCAATTCCGGTTCCACTGATGAACATTCCATCAAACTTTTTACTGGATCTACAGGTACAAGCATAGGAGTTGAATCAGCATGATAGGAAATAGAGGATGGTTCTGCAAATTCAGGCCTGTAACTTGGGATATTGGTTTCCTCATTGCAAACACCATCACAGACCATGTGCTTTGGAGGTTGGGTCAATGGACTCTCCTCATTGACAGTATGCCTGTCAGATGTCATGTTAACAATCTCAAATTCACAAATGTGGTCTTATAAGTACTACAGGTTCAAGTAATTTTAATTATTATGGTGTGTTCCCGTTGAGAGGTAAATTGCTTAATGTGAGGGAAGCAAGCCATAAACAGATCATGGAGAACACTGAAATTCAGAGCATCAAGCAGATTCTTGGACTTCAGCATGGAAAACAGTATGACAGTGTGAAGACTTTGAGATATGGTCATTTGATGATCATGACTGATCAGGTTTAAAACATTTAACTTCTTGTTTTGTTTTTTCTTTTGGTTTTATCTATATGTTGATTCATTACTGAGTGTGGATGCATTTTAGTTTGTTTGCTGATGACTTGGTTAAAAGTTTCAATTTTTATGCATTCACAGGACCATGATGGATCACATATTAAAGGGTTGTTGATTAATTTTATTCATTCATTTTGGCCATCGTTGCTAAAAATTCCTTTTTTCTTAGTTGAGTTCATTACACCTATTGTGAAGGTATGTACTCCATATCCAATCTTACTTCCATTACTGTCTAGTGGAACTGAAAGTGCAGTTTATAATAACTGGTATTTATTGTTGCACAGGCTACTCACAGAAATGGGAAAGTTCTAGCGTTTTATTCCATGCCGGAGTATGAATCTTGGAAGGAGAGTTTGGGAGGCAATGCCAGCGGTTGGTCCATTAAGTACTATAAGGTTTGTATGTTCAAGATCACATGAGGGATAAATCTAGGGTACTCGGTGTTTTTGTATGTGTTGTCAGTTTGTATGTGTTTTTGTATGTTCAAGTCTCAGGAGGGATAAATCTAGGCAATGCTAGTGTTTTTGTATGTGTTGTCAGGAGGGAAAGTTCTAGAGTTTTATTAATTTCTTTGGGGAAACTTCATGCGGGGTCATTTTTGAAAAATCTAGAAAACCCCCAGATGTTGATTTGTGATTATGTATCAATTTTAAGCAGAATATAACAATCCCAATCAAACAATCAAGACAAAGAGACAACGATTTTACGTGGAAAAAACCACAATTGGACACCTCCAACTGTGATAAAAAAACCACGGGCAACAGCCACGAAAACAATCCACTAAGAAGATTTAAAGGAATTACACAGGTATACTCTCAATTACCTAGCGAATCCATGCCTAATTGAACCAACCTCTATGTGCCTCTTCCAACCCGTCTTCACCTCCGGAATTGTCTTTCTGATGAGCCACTCCGGATTCCACCAAAGCTTCAGGCTCGAATTCTTCAGAATCCACC